ACTGATTTCATCAGCCTGCTATTAGTGTTTATCAAGGCTCATGTCATGGCAGGCTGCCAGTTCAAGCTGCGCATTGCCTAATCACTTATTGACCGGAGGAGTACAAACCACTTAGATCTTCTCAGAAAGAGGTTTTTAGCATATTGTTTCATCTGATGAAGGGTGTTGTGTCAGTAACAATGGTTTTCTCAATAATTTGACCACAAGCCTGTTTTATTTTTAGTGGAAAGATGTTTGGGTGAAAAGAATCACATATAATATGAATTGTTTTCTTTAGTGTAAGAAGCAATGCGGCAAAGAAGTATTAATGATTTCCACCGTACAAAGCATTTTATTATAAATCTTAAGGTTGATTATTTTAATTTTTTGAGACTTTATTATCATTATCATTATTATTTTCACTTTTATTATAAAAATAAATCATGAAATCTGTAAGATAATAGAATTAGAAGTTAGGGAAAAAATGTAGTGACCAAAAATGCTCGACACACTCTGTTCTTTCTCTCACATCCTGGGATGCTTTATTGAAGGAGTTCTTATGTATGCCGGACATGCTTTTCCTTTACTGTCTGATCAAAGACATACTAAAAATAGTAATCAATTGAATAAAATTGTATATGAAATAAATTAATATTTGTAGGCGTTTACATTTTTTTTTTTATAAAAGTAGTTTTGAACATTTAAAGGCTTATTAGATCATGTGTAACAAATTGAGTGAAGTGTGTTAAAAGTGTGATTAGTAGTGTACATCTCTTGCACAGACTATATTAGGTTTTTTAGTCTGAAGTCCAATTAAATGTGCACCTAATTGAAAACGGATTATTTTTAAATGAGAATATTTGTTTTTTTCTAAGATGCCAGAAATGTCTAAAATTGCTAAAGCTGTTACAAGTGAACAATAAAATGACAGTAGTATCCAGATGAGATTTTTAAACAGATTTTAAAAGAACAATTTCTCAGGACAAGGATGTCAGGACATTTTTTTTATTGTGACATGTTATACATTTTATTTTGTTATTTGTATTATTTAATTGGATTATAGGCCTAATTTGTAAACCAAAACAATGTTTAGAATTTTTTCCTGCGCTGCCCCTTACATTTCTGCTGTCATTAATTACCTTTTTAAACTTGTTTATATAGTATGTGTGTGTATACATGTGCTCGTTTTTGTGACAAATGAGGACATAAATTTGTATAATGACAAGGGTATGACATAGGTATTACAAGGAGAAGGTGACTTTTCAGGACATTACCCCATGTCCCCACTTTTCAAAACGCATATAAATCACACAGAATGGAGTGTATTGAAAATCTGAAATAGCACAAAGTTTCCTGTGAGGGGTAGGTTTAGGTGTAGGGTTGGTGTAGGGCAATAGAATATACGGTCTGTACAGTATAAAAACCATTACGCCTATGGGATGTCCCCACTTTTCACAAAAACAAACCTGTGTGTGTATATTATTTCTATGTTTGGGATATTTAATTTATGAAGTCAAGCTTGCCTTGGCTGACATCTTAAATGTGAAGGGCGTAAAGAAAAATCAGAAAAGTGAAGGTAGTTCTGAGGCTCTAGCATAATTTGTTTGCAGAATTTTTTTTTTTTGGTATGTAAGGCCATTTACTTTTTACTTTTTAAATTTTTTTTATTTTTTTTAATGTGACTGTGTGTACATTGCTTCATCATTGATTGTCCAAATACTTTTTGGGGCCCCTGTATATAATAATAATAATAATAATAATAATAATAAATGAAGTTATATATTGTTAATGCCTTCTAATAATATATGTAATTTGTTATATCTGATTTTCTTTTTCTTCCAGTCAAGCTGTATTACACAATTGTTGCCATGGCTGACATCTGAAATGTGAATGAGGTAAGGAAATATCCCCTTTTCTTGTAGAAATGCAAGTAGATGAAATTAATCCTTTGGTTTTTCAAATCTAATTTTATATTAAAAACCAAACTTGTATCTCTAGTTACTGCATAGGCCAAGCAAGGGTGTTGCCACTGGTGGTTTACAGCTGCACAAATGTGAAGCCCTCTGCTGTTTTTGTATTATAATTACTGATTTCATCAGCCTGCTATTAGTGTTTACCAAAGCTCAAGTCATGGCAGGCTGCCAGTTCAAGAAGCTGCGCGTTGCTTAATCACTTATTGACCACTTAGATCTCCTCAGAAAGAGGTTTTGAGCATATTGATTCATCTGATGAAGGGGTGTGTTGTGTCAGTAACTGTGGTTTTCTCACTGATTTGACCACAAGCCTGTTTGATTTTTAGTGGAAAGAGGTTTGGGTTGAAAAAAAAAAAATCACTTATAATATGATTTGTTTAGTTTAGTTTACGATGCTGTGCGGGGATCAATGATTTCCACCGTACAAAGCATTTTATTATCTTAAGGGTTATTATTTTATATTTTGAGACTTCATTATTGTTTTTATTACTATTTTCACTTTTTATTATAATAATGAATCATGAAAACTGTGAAATAATAGAGAAGTCAGGGAAGTCCCTTAGAAGTCAGGGAAAAATGTAGTGACCAAAAATGCTCGACACACTCTCTTCATTCATTCACATCCTGAGATGCTTTATTGAAGGAGTTCTTCTGTATGCCGGACACTCCACTGTTTTCCTTTACTGTCTGATCCAAAACATAATAAAAATAGAAATAAATTAATAAATAAAAATGAACAAGAAATAAATATAGAATTTACATTTTTCTATAAAAGGTTTCTCGGATCTTGTGTAACAAATTAAGTGAAGTGTGTAAAAAGTGTGATTGGTAGTGTACAGTGTACAGTGTATAAGGGATGTAGTTGTCACAATGTTGATCTTTTATACATAGTAACTATTATTTTGTAGTCCAAAGTCCAATTAAACATGCACCTAATTCAAAACTGATTTTCCTAAGATACACTAAGATGGCAGAAATTGCTAAAGCTGTCCGATACACAAGTGAACACAATAAAATGACTGTAGTCTCCAATAAACATTTGTCAGGACAAGGATGTAATGATAATTTGTGTATTTTACTTTTTATTGTAACATGTTACACATTTTTTTTATTATTGTTTACATTATTTAATTGGATTATAGGCCTAATTTGCAATGGTTAGAATTATTTTCTCTGCTGCCCCTTACATTTCTGCTGTCATTAATTGTTTTTATGTAACTTTATCTAACGGTTTTATATAACTTCGAGTTTATATAACTCTTCCACGGTTTAAATGTATAATTGTCTCGTTGAGATAACATATACGGTCTGACGGCATGCCCAGCTACAACTAGCCTCCCCTACAGTAGCCTATATATATGACCCAGTAACATTTTCACGCATGTCACCGGCGTGTCGTCATGTTAAACATGCGATAAAGTAAAAACGGAGTTATTGTGGGAAAATAATGTCTCGTTCGCTCGTGTAAATTGCGACCGCGATGTGTAATTCATACATGTGTGCTGCAGCCGTGATTTTTGAGGACGGGGCTTTAGAAAGATCCTTGCGATATACCCCTCGGGCCAAACTCACCTCTCCCTTCCCTTTCGCAAACATCAGCAGAAATATCAGTCTGACCAATGGCTCTTATTCTGGGTTGTGCTTTACGAGCAGAACACTCTGTACAAACACACTCTTACTCCAGCCTCAGCGCGCGCAAAGCCAATCTCAGTGGCTACAGTAAGTGGTGTGTTTTTCTTAATAGTTGTCTGATTGGACAAACCGTATGTCAGTATCTTGGCTCCCTCCCCCCCAACACCCCACCCCTCTGCTCGGGACGTGTCCTTGTTTTTTTTCTTTATTGAAGCAGGGAGGGAGCTCCGTAAGTTGTGTGTTAGAAACGCAGCAGCTTTTACGCACAAACTTGTTGCACGTTGAGTTAAATAACCAAACGGTGCGCAAGCTGTAAAAACGCTTTAAAAATTCGCTTAAAATGTCCTGGATATTACAAGGATAATGTACGAGGAGAATAAGGTCAACGTGACCACGTACGTTATCTTCAATAGTGATAAATATTTGAGGGTGTGTCTCTTTTGCAAGTTAACACGCGCGACCAAACAATTTAAAAGAAAACAGCGTTTCGATTTGACACTGTGTGTTTTGAGTAATATAGTTAGGCCCATTGTGTTTATTAATATATTGAATCCAAACATACTGGGGTCAGTTCAGTTGTGGTATATTTTGCAGTGCCAAGGTTTTTGTATTTTTTTTGTATTTTTTATTTCTATATTATTTTTAAACATGTCAGATTAAAAATCAACACAGAGCTTCTTTGCTATTTACATTTCATATGAAATATTACATGTAACATTATTTGAATATAATCTAAAAGGGATCTGAAATGTAGCAACAGTTTAATCATGAGTGAAGTGTGTAAAAACTGATTGGTAGTGTGCATCTCTTGCACAGTCTATATTAGGTTTTGTATGTACACTACATAAGAAAATTCATTTTTAAAGCATGTTTGTCCTACCTTGTTCAATATCACTAAATAAAAAAAAGTGGGTGCAGTTTAAATTAAATAATCGTGTATTTGTGGACAGGTGCTTGTGAAACCTAAATTCCATAGGTTTCATGCTGCCACGTACCAATTTAGCACCTGAGAGTGATGTATTTATCACTTCTGGAATTGTTTTAAATGCATTTAGGTTTTTAGAACAGCTTAAGGTCAGTTTGGGGCTTTTGCTAATGCAGGGTGTGAGAAGTGTATTTAAGTTTCCCCTAAGAGTGTGTTTTCATTCAGATTTTTTTCTGCACAATATAATGAAAAGGAGTCAGGTGAAGTGTTCATGTCATTATGGTTTAATCATCTCATTGATAAAGCAGTACACAATCCACTTAACATTTTTTAATAGGCTCAGTTTGCAACCTTGCACAAATTTGTGGAGGGGAAAAAAACTATAAAAAGAAGTACATACAGAAAATGCACAAATGCCACTTTGGATATCATAAACAACAAAAAGCTTGACATAAATAAGTGAGTCAAATTTCCTCAGTGTTTTTTTTTTGTTTGTTTGTTTTTGTTTTGTTGTAATTGTTTTTCTTCTTTACAAAGCAGTACGCACAGGTACACTTCAATGTTTTACACACACGCAGTGTAACGTCTTAATTAAAAAATGTTGCCGGTTTATACATATTTTTTTCATAGTGCCATGTCATGTTCAACACGAAAGCCAAATATATTGTGGCAAAGAAGTGGCTTCATGGACTAACGTTCTTAATTGTATGGCCCAGTGTTAAAGAAAAAAAAAAAGAAATATATATTTATATAAACATTATGCTACACAGCAATGCAATGAATAGAAAAACATAAAATTGAAAAAAAAAAAAAAAGAAAATCTATTTTTCAATGTGTACTCAGTAGGATTTGTAGTTCATGAGAATTTACATCATTATGGCAAAATAAGAGGAAATAAAATTAGTGGAATAACCCGGGGATATAATAATACTGTAAAAAAGCATGAAACCCTTAATACCGCACTAGGAGTCACAGTCCCTTCAGAGAAGAACACCACATGCCCAACGTGCTGTAACTTTGGCTGGTAAAATCATATATAAGTACCAGTAAACATGAGGGGTATCAATGCAAATATCGAATCATTTTAATTTAGGGTTAAAAAGTCTGTAATGCTTTTCAAAGAGTGACATTTGTGCAACTTAAAAAAATGTTCAAGGTTGTGCTGCTGCTGTTGAGCACAACACTGATACACATGAAGGTGTATTTCTGACTGTCAACATCCTGAGCCAGCCAAAACTGAGACAATGGGATTGTTTAACCTAATTAAAGGGAAATGGTGTGTGTGTGTGGGTGTGTGTGTGTCTGTGTGTTTGTATTTGACATAGATATATTTACTTTAAAAGGGTTCATTTTGGGGAGACGTTTTGAAAACTGCACAGCAATTCTTCAAGTCAAACGCACTCCATTTATAAATGATTGTGTTTTTTTAATCTTAATATTACATTTAAATGTGCTACATATAAAATGAAAGTATATACATAGGTAGTAAAAGAACAAACGAAACTCCAATTGCACACTGCTACATTGTCTGCTTTTGAGGCAAATATATTCTGTCGAGTGCCAAAACTTTAGTGTAAAAATTCAGTGCTTATACAGCCTGTCCAAGGCTCGATTTGTATTTTTCAACCGCTGTCCCTGTTTACTTCATAAAGCTCTTGAAGTATTTGATGGAGAATATAGTCTTCTTCATCTGTCTCTGCAGGGAACAAGGGGAAAAAGTTTATTAGCAAAGGAAATAGCATGTCGAACGCGCTTGCAAAAACTTCACAACGACACAATGCATGAAATAAACGACAGAAAATTACGGCAACAATATCTGCGCGTAAACAAACGGCCATATCCACGACGCGTTTAAAACAGGAGCGATAGCGCAGGACAGCGCGAATGAAAAGCGAGGAATTTTGCCCGCAAGTATATGCGTGCATTGTGAACCCAGACCCCCTCCTCCTCCCACGCGCACACACCCTACAAGAGACCTGCTGACGTGTTACTACAATGTTATGCATTTGAGTCCCGTTTGACTCGACTGTCACTTGCGCGGTGACAGAACGTCTTAAACGCGCGTTTGTTTCAAAAGAACAAAACAAACGCTTAATACACTGCCAACGCGTGGACAAGCACGCAAGGAACGAACATTCTTAGCGTTTTAGCGTGCAACAATAAAACCGAGAGAACAATTATATATATATATATATAAAATAACATCAGCTATGTTGAACGCGATCTTTTTAGCATTAAGTAACACGCGTTTACATCAATGCATAAAATAAGTCATGCACCAGACAGCGCGCACGAAACTCACCTTGTTTACGTTTTGGGATCCGACTTGCTGGGCGCGTGCGAACTCGTCTCTGGACAGCAGTTCGCCTCGGTCGCTTGGACGTTGGCTCTTTTGCTTTGGCAAGGAAGATCTATCGAAAGAATGAAGATTGTGTTAGAAAAGCGACTTCATTTGCGAGCTAGACAGCGAAAGCAAGCAGTTTCAGCATTACGCACGATCGGGAGGGCAAACTGTTTGTCCCCCGAGATCTGCGCGCAAATAACGCAAGAGCACCGAGACTCCCAAAACATTTACCCTGATCCTCTGTCGACGGTCTTTTTCTCGGCGTGGTCAGCGCCGTTCGGCAATCCGAGCGACTCCCGTGCTCCGCGTTGTCAGAGTCCCCCTGTACGCTCGTTGTCAACAAATAGTCGTGGTTCCCGTTATGATCCACAGTCCCGGTGGATGTATCCCGTTTTGCGTGAGGCGGTCTGGTGTAAAACTCCGGCACCTCTTTCGCGTCCACCTCCTGCCACTCGTAGTCGCCAGGCGCGAGCGGCTCGTTTTTGTCGAAGTCGTAATTCCATTTTTCCTTGGACGCTTTCTCCATCTCCAACATTTGCTCCTTGACGTCCCTCGCGAACTCTTCGCGATCCACGGAGCCGAAGAGATTTCTGCAGACCGGCGGTTTGGCGTGATCCGCCTGCCTCGCGTCCACCCTCTCCAGCGTCGGACTTCCATTGGAGACGCGCACTTTTGACATTTTGCACGTGAAAGTTCGTCCAGAGAATCGCAGTCGCAATCGAGCCAGACGCGGTCTAACTAAGAGCGATCCTTCTTCACGAGAAAGCCGAGCGAGACGCAGAGCGCACGCATAACAATCGCGCGAATGCGTGCGGAAAGGCGAAGGCGCGTGGAAAACAAGTCATGAAAACAGCGCGCGACTCCGATGCGTAGTAATTCCGAAGAAAAATAGACGAGTCATTCGAGTAGGCGAGCACTCAATATGGCGATCGCAAGTAAACTGGCAGGGGGAAAAAAAGATTGACAGCGAAGGCGATTTAAACAGAAGACGCTTCTCATTGGCCGGCGGAGCGCGGGGCCCGCCCATCAGTGAAAAACGATAGAAATACAGGAGACTCGCGCTTCCCGCAGTCTCATGTTGCCAGGTCCGCTTATTCTAAGGCAGCGACCTTAGTTTATGTGCAAATGTCGTGAACCCTGGGGCCCGGGACTCACTAGGGGCCCTCGAGATGATCTAAAATGAGACACACAGTCATTCAAATGAGTGAAAGCGAGAAAACAATTTAGTTCTTTGTTATTTGAACTTAGTCCTTTAACTATTGTTTCTTTTGAAGAAGAAACCATTGTTTGAAGAAGGTGGCTTAATTGGTAGACCAGCAAAAATCACGAAAATGCTGTTGACATTTCATTGAGGAAAAATGGTTAGTTTTTATCAAGCTGTAAAATATTTCAGAATATTTCAAAGCTCAGAGAGAGCTTTGATAAGTATGTTTGCACACAAGGAATTTGTTTTAGGGTCACAAGCATCCAGTACACAGATATAATGAAAAGTAAGATGCAAAGAAAATACACATGTATATATAAAGCAAATTTATGTAGAAAAATGAATTGAAAATAAATTTGGTACAGATGTGCTATAAATAGAATAGTAAAAGAATATAATAAGATGTAGGGATGTACTAGGATGGAGGGTGGTAACAAATATAAGGTTATTGGACATCTTTTTTAATTGTTCATGTGGTAGATCGCCTGGGGGAAGAAAGAAACTGTTTGAAATCGTTTTTTTCTTGTAAGTTAAGTAAAACAAGAAGTAAATGAATAATTTACAGGAATCCAAAAAAAAAAAATCATTGGCGCTTAAATTAAAATATAGTTTGAAAAAGTTGTGCAAGGCTTTTGCGAAGTATGAAATGTTGATGTGGCAACACCGGTGCAGATTAAAAATTGTCGTCTAAATCAGCAACGTTAAAAAGATATTAGCAAAACTTTGTAATGCACAATATGGTGTGATGGGAACACTCGCTGAGATTTGTTATCTCTCTCTGCCAAGTCTGAGGTCATAGTTGGCAGGCAGCTTATCTGTGGCATTACCAGTAATAAGTAGCTGAAATGTTTCAGCGTCACAGCTGAATCATGTTGGTTTGAGCTGTGTGGAAAAGGGTTAAGTTAGTCACACATTAATAGATGTATGTTCACTGTTGCAGTGTTCAGCTCCTGAACGCATTGGGGGGGAGAGAAGGAAGGGAAGAGAAAAGGCTTGAAGGCTCAGGATGAAGTCCTGTGAATATTTAGAATGTGTGTAAATGCTTTGTTGCCATCTAGTGGATGAAGTGGTGTAGGTTAAGTGAATTTTACTTTTTTGGGGCATAATTAGCATTGTTTTAAAAGAAAAAGGTGCATAACTGCTGCTGGTCATTGTCTTGGAGGCCGGGGGGGGGAGACCACAGTCATGGTCCCCCTTCTTCGGGTGTTGTCATCACTCTTGTCTCACCACTTTATTTGCCAATCCACTCTGTGCTCCACTTGGTCAGCCACATGCTCCTCCTTCCAGTCTCCAGCTCCTCATCAATGCCAGTGCTCCATCCTTGGTCTGGTCAGCCACTCCACCATCATCTCTCTGGTCTGGTCCTCCAGCTCCACCACTCCTCGGTCCGGTCAGCTCCTCCATGGCTCTGTCTGCTCCACCTACTGCAATTGATTAATTGTGGCGATCTGCTTGGATTTGAACCAGGGACCTTTGGCATTGTCTGCCAATGCTCAGATCGCTGAGCCACAGAGCTCCAACTGTACATGTGCTGGAACTTATACTTCACTACTTACCTGTGGTTTTTGCAACTAAGTCAGGTTTAGTCAGGCTCAGCCTCAACTTAAGGCCGGAAGGATCTGGAAGGAGGCAGGTCCGGAGGTGTGGTGTAGCAGTAGTGTTTGCACTCCAACAACCGGTTTCACACTCATCTACATCCTCAGACATCTTTATATCACTAGAATATATCACTCATTTATCTTTTCAGTCATCAAGTAATCACAACCAATGACACAAACATCACTTATTTTATAGTTGCTACATGCAACACAAGCCATTTATCACCATCAAAAAATCATCACAGCTAATGACAGCACAGAAATGATTTTAATCAAAGCATGATTTGCTGCCTCCAGTTGCTCAAGACATAAATACAAATATAATAAAAAATTAAAAAAAAAATGTAAATATTGTGTCTGGCCAGATGGCTCACTGGTGTCCTGACTAAATCATTCTAGCATCATGAAGAGGACGTCTTCTGGACACTCTTTTTCCTCAGCACCTCGTTCCGAACCTGTTCTGGAAACTGATGAAGGTGATCCCGCACACAGGGCAAACAAAAGCGCTTGGTGTAGAACAGACTGCAGTCCTGTCAGAAAACAAACACACAAGCTTACTGATATGTTGACACTGATTCCAAAAAATATATATCATAATGATCCTGATGCTGCCATCGTTGCGCTTCACTGCATGCAAGCATAAAAATATTCTTTGATCTATATCTTTAGAATTTTGAACATAATGGAAGAGATGGAGGATATTTTCTATACATTATTACTTTCATTGAATCATTCAAAAAGGATGAAAACTAATATTGCCTATTGGAGAGCCATGTTTTTTGTTTCTTATCAAAGTTACACGTACCGTTCCCACACACACCGTCTTACTGCACAGACAGCACTTGGATCCTAAAACAAGAAACTTTTCTCTCTCTGGGCTGAAGGGATCCTTCATGCCGTAACATTCCTCCAAGAGCCTGCAGGACAAACGACAAAGCACAAAAGCACATCTCAATCAATGGCATCCTTCACGCTGTACTTCATGAAATTATTCAGCCATGTGTAATTGATCAGACATTGAAATCAAGGGACGGTGTGTTAAATGGGCCACTACAAACATTTAAATGAGCTTTAAATGTCTCCGACGTCAGCAGCTTACAAGTCCTTTCCATATCTGGTGCCATAAGCGCTGATTTCAGGAAACACATTTTACAGTTCAGGCCATGGAAACCCTGCAAGTGTCTGCTTTAATGGTTCTAATAACTTTTGTGAAAACACAGTGTCCAAATATGGGTGAAATAATCTTCCATTGTCATTGTGTAACAGACACATTTATGTAAAAATTAAGCTACAATTATTCTGAACTGTATTTTTTTTTTTAAATGTATAAAAGAAAAAGTGATCATACATTTTATTGTTTTTCAGTGATTAAAAACTTATTACTGACAAATGGGTAAAACCTAGTGATTTGAAGGACAGTGGCAAAGATTGGCAAATATTTCAAATTACAATTAATCCATTTTTGGGGAGCTGCACTGTGATCCTTAAATACAGTCTTTTAATAAATTAATCTAATGATTCTCATTCTAAATAAGCCTAACAACATTTGTTGGTATATGAGCTATTGTTACATTGAATAACATTTTAGTGGATGTCTTCTGTAAATTATGGTCAAAATGTATGACAGGCATTCTTTTCTGCTCAGGAAGAAAAAAACAAATGAACAGGACACATTCTTACATACAACAAAAATTCAAATAAAGCTGTATTAAACTTTTGTTTTGATGCTTGAAAACCCCTTTTCATCTTTCTTCTGAAGAAAACTTGACACTATATACGCTAATCAGGCATGCGAGTGAAAGAATAAATTAACTAACTACAAATATATATATATGTGTGACCCTGGAGCACAAAACCAGTTTTAAGTCACTGGGGTATATTTGTAGCAATAGCCAAAAATACATTGTATGGGTCAAAATTATTGACTTTTCTTTTATGCCAAAAATCATTAGGACACATTAGGACATTAAGTAAAAACTTTCTTTTTCTGACATTTCTGACATTGATGGACAAGAAAGGAAGTCACAACAGTATTTAAATGTTTTCAAACAGATATTCAGTATTGTATTCACTTCGGCGTTTATCAAACAACACCAAATACTTTTGTTTACCCTTGTACATTTTTGGATTTTAATCTGGACTAAAACATGCCAGATTATTTTTCTATTATTAATAATAATAATAATACTAATAATATCCTCTATTGTAATTTTTATAAACCACTGGCAGGTGTTTTTGCTTTATTAAAGCAGCAATCTCACTAAATTTTGATACATTTCTCTGAAAGCGATGGTTGAACTTTTACATTTTTTAAAGTTTACTTGATAAGTAAATATATCCTCATATTAAAGATAATATTAAAGATAATTAAAGATAATTATACTAAGACCATCTGGTAAAACCTTACAGTTAGGTGTCAGTGTAGGATGTATATACTGGTTAGGTTAAATGGTAGGGAGTGGTAGGGAATAAATAGTAATGTGATGTCATACTTTTAAAAAGAGTTTTCAGTGAAGTTTCGAAATTCTTTGGTTGAGGAAACATGACAATATACAGTTAAAATGTTTCACATTTTCGCGCTTGGGCGAGTAATTTGCAGACTGATTTCCTAAATGCACGTGAAATCACCAACATGCCAACAAACCAATGAGAACACAGAACAATAATGACAATTCATAGCAAGAGAGCGCAGACGCCAAAGCTGATGTGGATCCACTCATCTGAATCCCTCTGGAACTGTCTCAGATTTGCAGAAAATTGCAGTTGTTTGGCAAATAAATAATTTACAGACCGTTTCATATGCATTCCCAACATTTTAATTATGCAATTTCAATGTTACACCTCAAATGACAAGGGACTGTTCATATTTAGCCTCAGATGGCTTCAGTATGCATAGTATTTAGATAATATAGCTAATTTAATGCTATAATAAACACAAATGTGACCCTGGACCACAAAATGTATTATATTTGTATATTTGTACAATACATTGTATGGGTCAAAATTATTGACTTTTCTTTTATGCCAAAAATCATTAGGATATTAAGTAAAGATCATGTTCCATGAAGATATTTTGTACATTTCCTACTGTAAATATATCAAAACTTATTTTTTGATTAGTAATATGCATTGCTAAGAACTTCATTTGGACAACTTTAAAGTTTAGATTTTTTTGCACCCTCAGATTCCAGATTTTCAAATAGTTGTATCTCAACCAAATATTTCCTATCCTAGCAAACCATACATCAATGGAAAGCTTATTTATTCGGCTTTCAGATGATGTAGAAATCTCAGTTTTGAAAAATTGACCCTTATGACTGATTTTGTGGTCCAGGGTCACATATATATGATCTTTACACATATATATATATATATATATATATACACACACACACACACTACCAGTCAAAGGGTTTTGAACAGTAAGATCGTTAATGTTTTTTTTTTAAAGAATTCTCTTTTGCTCACCAAGCCTGCATTTATTTGATACAAAATACAGCAAAAGCGGTAATATTATGGTATATTTTTACCATTAAAAATTAACTGCTTTCTATTTTAATATATTTTAAAATGTAATTTATTCCTGTGGTTTCAGAGCTGATTTGTTTTAGCATCATTACTTCAGTGTCACATGATTCTTCAGAAATCATTCTAATATTTAGATTTGCAGCTCAAAAAACATTTATTCTATTAAGTTGAAAACAGCCGAGTAGAATTGTTCAGGTTTCTTTGATGAATAGAAGGTTCAGAACTGAAATAGAAATCTTTTGTAACATTATAAATGTAGTGTATAATGTTACAAAAGCTTTTTATTTCAGATAAATGCTGATCTTTGGATCTTTCTATTCATCAAAGAATCCTGAAAAAAAAATGTACTCAGCTGTTTTAAATATTCATAATAATAATAATAAATGTTTTTTCACCAGCAAATCAAAATATTAGAATGATTTCTGAAGGATCATGTGACACTGAAGACTGGAGTAATGATGCTACAGAAATCAGCTCTGAAACCACAGGAATAAATTACATTTAACAACAATTTTCAAATAGAAAACGGTTATTTTAAATAGTACAAATATTTCACAATATCACTGATTTTGATGTATTTTGGATCAAATAAATGCAGGCTTGGTGAGCAGAAAAGAATTCTTTAAAAAAACATTACCAGTCAAAAGTTTTTAAACAACATGTATATATAAATCTTTTGTAACAATATACATTACCTTTTAAAAGTTTGGGGTCAGTCATTTTTTTTTTTAAAGAAATTAATGCTTTTATTCAAGCAAGGATGTGTTAAATTGATGAGAAGTGATAATAAAGACTTATATTGTAAGAAAAGGTTTGTCTTTGTTGTTCTTCATCAAATAATCCTGAAAAAAGTATCACATTCCAAAAAAAAATTAAGCAGCACAACTGTTTCCAACGTTGATAATAAATCAGCATATTAGAATGATTTCTGAAGCATCATGACACTGAAGACTGGAGTAATGATGATGAAAAATCAGCTTTGCATCACAGAAATAAATAATATTACAATAGAAAACCATTATTTTAAATAGTAATTATATTTTACAATATTACTGTTTTTTCAGCCAAATAAATGCAGCATAATTAACAGAAGAGAATTCTTTAAAACACATTAAAAATCTTACTGATCCCAAACTTTTGAACAGCGGTGTGTATATATAAAATCAGCCTCCGATAGTGCTTGATGTGAGTGATGTGACTGTACATTGTTTTGCTGTGGCGTTGACATTCAAAGTCGAACGTAAAATCACTTAAAGGTGGGGTAAGCGATTTTTCAAAAACGCTTTAGAAAACTGATTCGGGCCGACTATCAAAACAAACTTGTAGCCAATCAGCAGTAAGGGGCGTGTCTACTCGTGATGTGGAGGAGAGAGAGTTCAGTGCACAGGACAGACATTAGCGAGAAGGCAAGAAGTAGGACCCGTGTAAATATCGGATCAGCTTTCCAGCGCTGGAGAGAACTCAAGGAGCGGAAGGCCTGCGATCGGACGCCGAGGTTGCTTTGTTTCTTCTCGATAGGTGAGTAACACCGAGTCTGCGCCACAACAGCTAAAGTCTGTCTAGTACACTGGACAAAGCGACCGTTGAAAATAATTTGAAATTTGTGTCAATACGTCATGAATAGAACGCAGCAGCAGTTTTCTGTCGGGGATTTGTCGTGTCGTGCCGCATCCAGTGTAGACCATAGATATGGATATAAATCTATGGTGTAGACAGCATCACTGATTATAATGAGTTCCATAGTATTTTGTTGCGCCGCGCCACTCGCGTCCGGTGTAACATTGGTTTTGCTTTGTTTCACAGAAAACACTGTGAAAAAAAACCACACAGAAAACTCTGTTTTCGTTGCCTGGGTTGCGTAGGTATGTGTGGGGCGGAACTATCAAAATAGGAGCGAGACCCTTTTGGGGTAGGGGCGTGTTTGTTTTGGTGATTTCAAATGTCAATATTGGCTACCAGAAATCCCTTACCCCACCTTTAATCAGTGTACGAGTACACAAAAATAGCAGTCGAGTCGAACGAACGATCAATGTGGATAAACGGTGTAAACAACATTTGTACTTCATGAACTGCATTATTTTTAATAATCCCGACCTTTTCAAATGGTACACGATTTCAGTGTTTGTCATTTTCCCCACTCATTTTTACTCTACAAATATTAAGATTGTTTACATGGACTATTCGTTTATCATTTACTCGTTTGATAATTTGTCGTTGCAAACCTGTATGAACGCAAAAGAAAATATTTTCTAAAAGAACAATGTTGGTTATGTAACCGACGGTTTTGATTGCCATTGACTTGTATGAAAAAGAAAAAAAAACGATAATTACACAAGACATCTTTTATGTTCAACAAGAAAGTAAGTCATACAGTTTTGCAACGACATTAAGAATGACAAAATGACACCTTTTCGGTTTTTGGGTGTCGTGGCAACCACTTTTGCGTCATTTTGCAGTCTGGTGGCCTGATTCAAAAACATGCCATGAATGTAGTATTCATATATCCGTTTCATTAATTGCATGCCACCGTGACGTATGGAAAAATTTGACATCACATCAAACCCCCCCCCCCCACACCACACCACACACACACACGTACGCACCTGCCAATAATCAAGATGATCGGGTTTGCTCAAGCCTATAATACCATTATATATGTTTAAGTCACTGCATATCACTAAAGCTATATTACAAACGTTCTTACTTGACTATGAAGACCGAATATCCCGTGCGCTACGTTGCAGTGTCACAAATGCTTGTGTACTTACACTATCGCTCTCGTGTTTGGCGGCTTCTGCCCGTAGAAGCTGTACGGGCTGGACATTTCGCACAGCTCACAGGTGAACAAGCCGAGCGCGGATCCTCCGCTCAGATCCATTCCCTCTAACGTGCGGTTCTCGTGCTGCACAGCGTCGGCGCCGTTTGTTTTGAGAGAGCGCGCCATGCTGCTGTGACGTCACGACGGTGCGTCAAGCGTTTCCGTTTTATAGTTTACGCTTGCAGTACATCAGACAAGACAGTGGATGGCGCAAGAAATAAAACACGCACACGCCGCTCGTTTCCCGTTTTTAGAAACATTTTTCATGAACGTTATATTTCATTTCAACTACAAACACCAGATCAGTCAGTAACTGCGCACCCAAAAGAAACAAATTAACATGAAATGGTTCATTAAACTGCAGCAACCTAAAATTAACAGAGCATTTTCTGATCAAGTGTCTGTGGATTGTAGTAGATTTTGCTCTAGATGCTATGAAATTTAGATTTACCCTGCAAAAGTATACAACGATAAAACAATAATTTACCAATCAGTACTAATTCAGAACACGTAACACATTTGTACAATAAAATTACAGTTGGAGTGCTATACAGTGTACAATAATATTTTTATACAAAAGATTTTACAAGTGATGTTCAATGTACAAGCATTTCAAATGAGGTAACAAACAATCTGATTTATATGGCTCTCTCTCTATACATTTCATTCTAGCATTAAAACATGATATGAAAAATCACCCAATATTCAGGATAGTCAACTCTATATTTTCCAGATCCTACATCTTGACTGCTGGTGCTTATTTGGCAGAGACGGCGTCGACCGCTCTGAAAGTTATGTTTCGTTAACCACGCCCCCTGTATATCCGAAGCCCCGCCCTTCAGGATTTACATCGATGGAGCAGGAGAGCAGCAGCACATCATCTCGGTGCGGCCAAATTTGTCAAAAGCAATACGTGCCAACTATGCTCTCGCACTACAAACAGCTGCTTATGAAGCTGAATATGGCACTTTAATGATCTACTGCCAGTCTTCAGTGAGCCGAGGCATCATAAAACCAGAGTACCACAAAACCAGTCATAAGGGTCAATTTTTCGAAATTGAGATTTATACATCATCTGAAAGCTGAATAAATAAACTTTGTTAGGATAGGACAATATTTGGCCGAGATACAACTATTTGAAAATCTGGAATCTGAGGGTGCAAAAAAAAATCTAAATATTGAGAAAATCACCTTTAAAGTTGTCCAAATGAAGTTCTTAGCAATGCATATTACTAATCATAATTAAGATTTGATATATTTACAGTAGGACATTTACAAAATATCTTCTTGGAACATGATCTTTACTTAATATCCTAATGATTTTTGGCATAAAAGAAAAGTCAATAATTTTGACCCATACAATGTATTTTTGGCTATTGCTACAAATATACCCGAGACTTAAAACTGGTTTTGTGCTCCAGGGTCACATATGTTTTTTAGGGATTTCTATATATTTTGAGTGCCATTCGCTCACTGCACCTGTAATTGAAATCCACTCTGGCAAATTTACAAAACATCTATGGGGCTATAGGCATTGACCTTATAAAGGTCCGTGCCCTATTAAAGGTTAGCGCTATATTTTTCAGCCTAGAATTACGCTGGCTTTTCCCTGTAATGTCCTGCCTTCCCGAGAATGGCGACGCTCTGAGCTCAGTACATGTCTCTGTAGATCTCCTGCAGAAGCGGGTGGAGTGAAGCATCGTCCGTCTTGTTGATGTCCTGGACCAGCTCCGCGTGCTCCGTCACCAGCTGCCGCAGGTCGGCCAGTTTCTGCAGCAGCTTGGGAAAGAGTAAGGTGTTGTCGGGGTGGTTGGACAACAGGTGGAGCCGTAGGGCGTGGATGATGCTCTCCTGGATGCGCTCGATCTGCGACACGTCGCTCAGTCCTGGACGGTCTGTCGGTGGAGATCCAGAGAGAGAGGAAGAAACACAAGAGAGACATGTAAGGATGACAAAAGCACCAATACTTTGCAACCGAGTCGGTTTACTTGAATGAATGCTTGAAATTACTTCATGTTATTATTTTCACATCAATTATTAATTTTTATATTAATCCTGAACTTTTCAAATAAATGACTTTCCTGTTCAATTGCTATGTTACTTTTTGCCATGGTATCAAAATTGGTATTAAACTCCATGACGTCACTGCTATGAGTTTCGACTGCTGTAATTTCGGCAGTGTGACATCTCTGCATTTAGCCGTACAGTGTGTCCATGAAATATGTATTTTTTTCGTTTTGCTAACGGTGTGTAAGAAAACAAAGCAGCCCTCCAGGAAGCCGTGGTTAGTGGAGGCGTCTGCTTTCGGGTCTCTGCCACACGGCAGCAGCTCCTAGGGCTAGGGCTCCTAGGAAACTGTGGTTATTTTCACTAGTTCTCAGGAGAACAAAATCCCCATCTCACTCCGACCATTATTATGTCATGCCTTTCACAAGCTGCTGTCTGTGGCACTCCAGAGGTGACATAAAAACAACCGGTACCACAACTAACCTACTTAGAGTTCAGCAAAGGAGATGACATGAATATGGCGTAAGATGTTCATGAAGCACAGGAGTAGTTTAGGTAAAAATTAATACATTTATTTACCATTTTTTTCCTGTACTAGTCCAATGGTCCTTTAAATTTGCATTCAAATATCTCTGTGTCTCCAAACTTTGATGCAAAAGACCCTAAATATAACCTCGGATATAAATGAACTGGAATAAATATCCATTTATAGTGTGTCAGAACAATAGTGAGAGTGAAAAAATAGAATTTTTTTCACTGTACTTTTAATTAAGCAATTTAAAATACTTTTATTTTTTTTTTCTGCCTACTATTACATACACTATTACTTTCTCCAAACTTAACAAATATCTTAAGATAACTATTTTAAAAGGTATACGATAGCTCCAGTTGTCTCTGTCCGGTTTCCTGGCAAAAATATGTATTTTGCTGAGGTGGTCTACTCCCCATGTTCCCACTGTCATCATGTGGATTTCTCAGTTGTCAGGCTTTCTTCTCTTTGGAGAATCTTAAGATCTAAATCATAAATCTGACCAATTCTGGAGACTCTGGAAACCCGTGCATTCATTTTTACAGAAACTCTGATTGCTTGTTTCAGGACGACTATATGTTTTTTTTCCCCTCTCTCTGTTTTGCTTCTTTTCCTTTTTCTGTTATGTGTCTGATCAATTTATGCAGTAAGAGATGTATCATTGTATGTATTTCTTTATTAGCTTTTATTCATTTTTATTCCTTTCAGCACCTTGGGTTTGTTTGTCTGCTTGTTCATTGATGTTTTTGTATGTCTAAGGTATATTTGATCATCAAAAAAAAAAAAGATAAATGTTTACTTTAAAGTTTGACAATCCCTAAACATTAATATTTTGTCAAATATTGTTCTTTTCTAGCACACCTTCGTAACCCCTGGCCCCGGCTCTAGTTGGAATGTAGCGTGTCACCGCGTGACATATCAATTTCATGTCAAAGTATTTCATTCTTTAGTAAAGCCAATTTTCAAAAGCTGCTAGTCGCTGTTAAGAAACATTTCATTTATATAATGTTTCCCAAATGTTTTACACAAAGACCATTTTACACAGCCTCTGTTTCGCTTCCCATGCTCTCTCTGCATCTCACCTCCGCAGCAGATGATGGCAGCCACGAACAGTGCCAGGTCGCTGTCGTCGAGCTCTAGGGCATTGAACCTCATGGCGAACTGAAATTTCGGCTCCATCATGTCGCTGAAGGGCTTACGCAGACTCTTTAGAAATTCTCGAGTGATGAAGCCTCCGCCGCGAGCCACCAGCAGCCCGTCTTTGTTCATGCAGGAGGCCAGCAGAGCGAAGAGCGCCTCATACACGCCGTACTTCAGCAGAGTCACCTGGTCGTTGAGGTCTAGGGCGGCAAAGCCAGGCACGGCCTTGGCGAACTCCGTCAGCTCTGTGACCGTCGCCACCGAGGCGTACTGGCAGAACAGAAAGAGCCGGGCCTCCACTTCCCTCTCCCGCAGAGTGGAGACGTCTCCGGACGCCATGTTGCCCAGCAGCTGGGTGAGTAGTTTCTGCTCGGCATGCTGGAGAGTGTCCATGTCGTGGATGACGAAGGGCTACGATGAAGGATGGAGAGAGGTCAGACCGTGCAACTCAAAGTGTGCTGAATAGCTTGTGCAATTAGTGATCACTGGTTTCTTAATTAGCAATTGACATCCTCTCAGTGTTGGGGAATCTACTTTGAAAACACAGCTTGCCAAGCTACTTCATTTAGAGTCAGTAAAAAGCACAGTCAAGACTTTTGAAAAAGTAGTTAAGGAAACAGATCCGGCGTGACGCAGCTGACAGAACAGCATACGTTGTTTACGTCCAGCTGATACTCTCCAAAATGGCGCCACAGGGTGACGTGGAGGAGATGAATTGTTGAATAAATTTTTTATTTTTTTTCCTTTTGCACACAAAAAGTATTCTCGTAGCTTCGTATAATTATGGTTGAACCCCTGATGTCACATGGATTATTTTACTGATCTCCTTGCTACGTTTCTGGACATTGATCGTGGTAGTACCCTTGCTGTCTATGGGAGGGTCAGAGAGCTCTCAGATTCCATCAAAAATATCTTAATTTGTGTTCCGAAGATGAACGAAGGTCTTACGGGTTTGAAACGACATGAGGGTGAGTAATTAATGACAGAATTTTCATTTTTGGGTGAACTATCCCTTTGAACTACAAACTACAAAAAAAAAAATTTTTTTTTACAAATTACACTGAAATTGACTTAAAGGGGTAATTCGCCCAAAAATAAAACGAGTTTGAATTTCTTTCTTCTGCTGAATACAAAAGAACATGTGTTGAAGAATGCTGATATTCATAGAGTTTCACTTTCCATTCCTCTGAATGGACAAAAAATACATTGAAATTAAACCGGAACCAAAACTTTTTGGTTAGCAATATTCATCAAACTATCTTTTTATCGTCTGCAGAAGAAAGAAAACCATACATGAACGAATGTGTTGTAAAAATGACTTTTAATCAAAATTTTAGGGGGAACTTAATGCAATCATTTTAGGTTAAAGGGTTAGGGTTTGGCTGACAAAAAATTTGGGAACCCTCTGCTATAATGGACAGCGTTTAAATGTCGCCTCATTTTGCTCAGCTTTAAAGTTGTGTGAGCAATACAACATAAATGAAGAGTGAGTGATTCCCCAACACAGCAGTCACTCACCGGAGTGCCGGTCTTGCCCGTGAGAAACACACGTGCTTTGGCTTTGTTCATGTGGAAGTGTTTGAGGTAGGCTTCATGCATCTGCTTGGCCAGACTCTTTGTGTCCGGCTGCTGGGACTCGTGCTCCTCTTTCACGTTTACGTCCTGTTCTGCTTTCAGCCTCTGCTTTTCAGATTGGGGTATCCGCCCAAAACGGATAGCTGTAACACACACACACACACACACACACACACACACACACACACAGTACCAATGAAACCAGATGCAAGCTCATGCATGCTTCCACAGACAATGTACTGTATACAAACAAAGCAAACACATATACATACGAGCTTAGCAAAATGTTAATATGAAGGCTGATAAAAAAATACAGTAATTAAAAAATAAATATATTTTTTCCCTTTCTTCTCCGCATTTCTCATCTTCTCTTGTTTCCTTCCTAATCTAGTTTTCTAATAAACTGACATTGTATATTATGATTCTTGTTGGCTTTTTGAAAAAAGCGCGGTATGGCGTGATATGATACAGATCTGCCTCGGAAGGGATTGTGCTAACAGTGGCACATGACATTAGCACATTAGCCCAGGCTAACATTAGAAATTATTCTCGGTTCGGGTCAAAGTCTCGTGAGAGAACGGGACGGCGTTTCTTCCGTGTCATCTGGTTCATCTCCGGTCATCCCGCTTCTAATCGGCGATAGGTGGGACTTGGAAGGTGTGGATTTGTGCTACCTCATGATGTCAAAGCTAAGAGTGTGTAAAGGTTGTTGTTCTATTAGAGATTAAGAGAATTAGAGAACTAGAGAACATTAGAGAACTAAACTACGCGTTGCAAATTATTATTGTCATAAAATGGAACACCATCTTGATTACAGATAAAGCAATTAAAGAACTTAAATCATAAAGCCATAAACTGATTCTGTGTAATCTAAGTCATAGAGATATGCTCTTTGTGAAGCTCTTACCGTTGTGGGACATGCCCACTGCAAGGCACTTGCGGAAACGGCAGTATTGGCATTTGTTTCGGTTCTTTTTCTGGATCTTGCAGTTGCGTTCGCACTTGTCGTACTCCAGTTTGAGTCGAATGGTTCTCCTGAAGAACCCCTGTGGAAAATTCATGAAAAGACACATGCAATGCAAGCTGACATGATAAAAGGTTTTAAGAAGGTCAATTTTCTTTACTTGGCCTTTTTAAGACCAAGTAAAGAAAAATTAAGGAATTAATTGAATGGAACACAATACGTAAATAAGTTTGAAAATACAACTTTCAACAGATCTCCATTACTTTTTAATTCATTTTCCCAAAAATAAATAAATGAATAAATAAAAGACTAAAATGTATATATCAAAAATCATAAGACTTGAATAGCTCTGCTTCCAACCATTAGAATTTGGAAATAACTTTTACTGTAACTTCTGATCACATTGCAAAAAAAAGTGATGTTCTTCATCAGTATTTTTGTCTTGTTGTCCAGTGCAAATCTCCAAAGATTCTTAAATTAAGATACATTTACTTGAGAAGCAAAACAACAAATTAAGAAGTCTTGTTTTATGAGAAATCGATCAAAATAAAGTGAGTTTATGATTAAAACAAGAACAAATATCTGCCAATGAGCTCAGTTTTCATACCCCATTGACAGATATTTGTTCTTTTAAGTATAAACTCACTTAATTTAGTTTAATTTCTCAGAAAACAAGATTCCATATGTATTTAAGGATGTTTAGATTTTTGTACTGGAAAACAAGACAAAAATACTGAGGAAAATGTTTTGCAGTGCGTGCAATATTTTATGCCTTAACTTTCTGTCCGATTTAAGACCTTTTTAAGCCTTAATTTGTGGAAGGACGAATTAAGACTTTTAAAGGCCCTTTTAAGACCTGCAGAAACCCTGTAAATATATAGTTTACCTGTACGATCAGAATTCATACGAATTGCCCAAATAGTACAGGCACAGCTTTGTAATATATTTGTTTACATTTTAGATTGGTCGTATAAGGACTTTAGCCCCTAATTCCCAATACAGAGCGGAACCACAAGACCGTAATAAAAATGACCTTGATAAACCAAATGCTAATTGCACATGTGATAAGAAGGCTAATTCACACGATAACAATATTTATTTCTCAAGAACACTGTGTATCTATGAACAAACACAGAGGTATGGCCGAACTCAATGTAAGCTGCACATAGATGTTATGATTTGTAGATGCATTTGCCTGCAGCGTTAATAAAGGTATGAGTGTATGTGAGTAGGCCTGTCGCAATAATCAATATATCGACTTATCGCACAATATATGTACATGACCTCAATAATTTTTGGTGACGCAATATATCGCCCATTATATTTACTTAAAAATTAATGTCACCATGTTTTTTACATTTCACTTGCGCCTAAATGACAATAATATCGCTTATTGCAATTATTTCTGGGGCAATATATCGCACAACAAAAAGTTGTTATCGTGACAGGCCTATATGTGAGTGTGTGTATGTGGCAAGGTGTGGATTTGGTTAGTCTTTTTGTAGTCTACTTCAAAGTTAGGCCTTTTGAGAAACGGTTTTCTCAACAAATGTTACATTCTTCAAAGCAAAAGAGATTCATGCATAACCTGATGCTAAATGCTTTGTGGAGGTCTTGTGTAGGATGCTTGTGGAAAGGTGCACTGGGAATATCTCTGTTTATTATTCAGATAAAAAACAAGAATGATAACAGTGAATGAAGGACTATCAGAGCTTTGTAGAGTCTTCCCACACATCTTCATCAAAATAGGCACTGTGGCCTGGTATGTGTAGTAAGGGTCACAGTTACAGCACAGACATTCTGTGTCCCTCCAGGCGAATTATTTAACAGGGAACACGTGCCTGACAATGGAAACAGGTATCAGACGAGAGCTCGGTCTCATGACAAACTGTCACGGATCGCTCCCAGCGCTAAAAACAGAAGCGATCTCTACGCACTGAACATACCAAACAATAAAACCGGACTGAAGAAACAGCTCATCACGGTACAGCCCCTAAATACCAACCAAGGACGGACACATGTTCCGTAATGCATGTTGCCGATGCATTATTTCCTACTGCTCTCAAAAGCTTTAGGAAGTGAAGTTGAAAATCATTTACTCTTCCAGATTTAGCTCAAAAGAAAACACATAGATGTTAAAACTTTCATGTGGAATTGCTTTTTCAAGGCAAAAAAACTACTAAAGAACTAGGTGACACTTTAAAATAAGCTTCTACAAATTAACATTAGTTAACACACAGTTGAAATAACAACGAACAATTTTGCAGCATTTTTAAATCTTGGTTAATGGTGATTTTTCCATATACTAATAGAGCGTTGCAACCCAGAAGTTACCATCATCCAGGTTCCCTCGGTAGTTACTTGGTAGTGGCTTTTGGATTATTGCAGGAAAAAGGCTCTGTGACCAACAGAAGTTCATGATTCTTAAACATTTTATTCATCTTCACAAAAAAAAAAAAAAAACCCTTGTATGAATTCATTTCCAGAAGTAACAAGTGTAATACTGTATAAGATTTCCATTCCAACTGAAAGCATAAATCTAGGCTATGCACTGCTGCTTTCAGAGCAAAATGCAGAGACATTTCATTCAGTGACTCGCTTCACTCAGCAGGCAGCGCATATATTTACTTGCCTGCCAAAATAAAAGCATGCCAATTTTAGGTTTGAGAATAATGAAATGAAATGAAAATATAAATATTAGAATTGTATTTTTTAAGTATGCTATAAAATAATTGTATTTCTATCTAATACTCACTTTGTAATTTAAAACATAATAGTATTAACACACTTAAAAAATTAATAACAAAATAAATAAAGTGGAATAATACTATTATTATTTTTTAATGCTATATTTAATGGGTCACACTATGTGCAGTGTGTGCACCAAACCAAATCTCCAGGTGCTCTCATGAGAACCAGACTGAAAAACTTATGTGCATCCCTGGCTATAAACAAACTATAAACAAATCACAGTTGCATCACCGCCACTAAGCCTCCAAGAAATATTTCAATCTTTTTTTAAATCTACAAGCTGGAAAGTTTAAGTTAGAATAGTTTGCAAGAGTTGCATTTGGCCACTTGTTTGCAACTGCTTTTTACAAGACATGTAAAAGCTTAATAAAATCACAAGTGGGGTATTAAAGGTGCAGTAGGAGATCTTGGAAAATGCTAACTTTAGCCTGATAGCACTGAAAGTGAACATCCCACCCTACCGACAGACAGGTAGGAAAGTCAACTCGTTCCGAGCATTTTGATTGGACGAACATTTCTTGGTCCTACGCCTTCCACAGAATATATAAATACAGATAAATACATTTGGACCACTTAACTTAATGATTGCTATCGGGATGTGAAGAGACTTTCAACCAGCATAACAAAAAATGTTTCTGAAGACAATCACCTATTGCACCTTTAATGATGTATTTCATATTGAATAAAACGTGAAAATATCCTGAGTTTATGTTAACCTCATATTTCAGGCACTTAACCAAAAACCCATTAAAAAAAATCAAACAGAACATTGACTTCAAGCAGTGGAACTGGAAGCGCAACAACTCATTTCTAGGTTTTATGACTAGCTGCTGCAGCTCTCTAGACATTTTTGTTTAAATTAACATTTGTGTCATTTATTGTGACCTAGTCTCGCGTAGCCAGACCTTCAGACTGATGGCTGAAGGTCTGGAATTCATGGCAGCTTTCATTGGCCTAGGCCCGCCCATGAGGCCGTTTGACTGACATGTCAAACAACCAATCACAGTTCGTTTCGTTTCAGCGTCACGCTTCGGGGCGTGGAAATGTCGCCACAATAACAGATCGGTGTATAAAACTCTCGGACGTATTTGTAGCGTCTGGACCAATCAAACACACAATTTTTCATTTGATTTAACAAATCAGTTCTTCATTAGATTAACAAATCGTCACAGTCCCCTCACCCAATAAACTGGATGCCAGGATGTCTGCAACGACACCAAACCATGGCAACCCTGACACCAAATACATTTACGACCTCATGGAATGTGAGCAGGGAAAATCACTGCATGTTCCACAGCAAGAGGCAAATGCACAGTAGAAATGGACTTTTCTACTAATTAATTCATAGGAAAACCTTTCTTTGAATGAACACACATGATCCTTCAGGTCATTGTGTATATTATTGTCATCGTGTATTTTGTCTTTGACATTGTATACTGTTTTATGCAGGCTTATGATCGAAACACTCACTCCTGTCAGCTTACATATATATAACCCTACCATGTTTAGTATCTATGAATTAGTCTTCTGATGATCTAAACAAGAGTGTATATTATATGTTGGTACATAGACAATATATTAGTGTCCTGAGAATCTTTAGTAATTTCGATTCAAGT